ATAAATATTATTTGAAGAGTCAAACAAGTTTTTCTTTGACCATGATTTTTCCATGAACATTAGAATTATCAACTATTGTGATTATAGTACTTCTTAAGTAATTCTCAGACGTATAAATTTTATTTCAAAAACTCGAAAAATGTGGATACGAATCAGGGGCAGAGCTACAGTATTAATAAACGGGTTCCTACAATCCCGGTCACTTTTGCTTAGACCTTGTATTTGTATTAGGAAATCCATTAAATATGTATAAAAAATTAATTACCAACACAGTAACTAAATCGCGCTATTAGTTTGATGGCAAGTTGAGAACCCATAAACTTCAAATTATGGCTCCACCTCTGGTCCGAATTCACACCAAAAATTAGGTACTTTGGCCTTCATACTCCGAACCCCGCCACATAAAATGGGACAAAGGGAGTATAAGGAGGGGCATAGTTAGCCCTTCCGATAGGGGTTCGGCTGAACCCAGTAACCTTTGTCCAAACTCTATATTTGTCTTAAAAAAAGCTATTGAATTACGTACAAATTATCAATTTAGAACCCAATAGCTTAAAAGAATTTGAATACCGAACCCATAAATTTCAAATCATGGCTCCCCCTCTGAGTATAAGTAGTAAAAAAACCATACCTTGGCGTGGTGGGAGAAGAAGATACAGAGGAATCGGGAGAAGGAGGAGGTAGAACAGAGCTACCGCCGCCTTTTCCAGAGGTGACCCTTTGGTACTGAGGCTGAGCTGATCCTGAACGTCCACTAAGTCTACTACTATTTCTCCTATAATTTGTCTGTGATTCACTTTTCTTCTGATCACCCTTGCGCTGCATGTAACATATATTATATAGAAACCCTTTACTCCTCTCTGTATTTCTTCTTCAATCTGCAGATCACATGCACACTATAAAAAAAAAAACAATTAATTTATCATGAACAGGAAAATAAATATAATGTACGTAAATGTAGAATCCATGTATTATTATGTACCTAGATTTTTCATGCGTTGAGAATGAAGAAATGTGATAAAAAACAGATCAAGTCGGAAGATCTAAGGGAGTGTGTGTGTGTGTGTGTGTGTGTGTGTGTTTACTTGGTTATGGAATGTTAAGGAACTGCAGAATAAAACCCGAAAAGGGAAAAAAAGGAAGAACGAGAAATAGTGAAATGCTCTTTGTTTCTTTTCTTTTTATTTTGCCAATAAATGTTTTTTTCTAGTTTGAAGAAGTGAATTTTAAGATTACATTAAAAATTATTTTTATTTATTTTGACAAATAAGTTACTCATGATATGGAAAATGAAGTGCTTTCGGTCATGATTATTGATTTTTTTTCCTTTTCTTCTTATTTATTTTATTTATTTATCTATTTATTTTGCTTCAAGGGAATGAATTTAATTTTTATATTCTGAGTTAAGTATATATATGTAATTTTAAAAAGAGTAACTATATAGGCTATACATAAGGAGACTCTTTCAAAATCTTTTTCCTAATTTTGGGATCAGATGACGGAGTTTTTCTTCAGATCAACCAAACAATATTTTGGGTGAAAATCATTTATCCTTCCCAATTTTGTGTTAAAAATCAAAAACTTTGAACAATAATCATTCTCCCCCCTTTGTCCTACACAATACCTTTTTTGCCCTTGAATTTTTAATTTCCTCCTCAATTCAATACTTTTTTATTATATGATATTTTTTTTATGGTTTTAGCTATAACTTAAATTATGTAATACCTATTATAAATTGTAATTAGAGTTCATTAAAATTATAAGTAGAATAAGTAATTAGAGTCAATTAAAACTTATCTTTATGATTGTTATTTTAATGTAATGCATATTAAATATATATTTAAGTTATATTTTCTTAGCGACGGAGCTAGAAATTCATTTAAGAGGATTAAAAACACCCCAACTTTTTTTTTTCCGGATTGAACTTGTGAGCTAAGATACTTGAGGTGTTTTTCAATCCTCTTATATGAAAAACTCGGATTGAACTTGTGAGCTAAGAAATTAATGAACTCTATTCTCTTAGCTCACAGATTTTAATTTCTTAGCTCACAAGTTCAACCCGAGTTTTTCATATAAGAGCATTGAAAAGCACCCCAAGTTATCTTAGCTCACAAGTTCAATCCGAAATAAAAAAATAAATTGGGGTGTTTTTCAATCCTCTTATATGAATTTCTAGCTCCGTCGCTAAGAAAATATAACTTAACTATATATTTAATATGCATTACATTAAATAACAATCATAAAGATAGGGTAATTTTAATCGACTCTGATTACTTATTCTACTTATAATTTTAATGAACTCTAATTACAATTTATAATAGATATTACATAATTTAAGTTATTGCTAAAACCATAAAAAAAATATCATATAATAAAAAAGCATTAAATTGAGGAGAAAATTGAAAATTCAAGGGCAAAAAAGGTATTGTGTAGGATAAAGGGGGGAGAATGATTATTGTTCAAAGTTGAGGGGGGAGTTTGATTTTTAACACAAAGTTGGGGAGGGTAAATGATTTTCACCCAAATAAAACTTATTTAATTAAAAAAAAGAACAAGATATTGTTTGGACCAAANTACCTTATTCCAACATAGGGACAGAAGGGAGAAGGTTGTGAAGGTGGCCTCGTTATCCATACCTCCGGTCGGATGAATGGAGGACCGACCGACCCGGGTTTTCACGAGCGTTGGCGGGTTCTGGAGTGCCTGTCAAGGGCGCTAGCGCATACCCCGGGGTGATCGTTCCGTCGTCGATCAATCTATCACTCAATCACAGGCAGCCAAGCCATCAGAATCAGACCCGTAAAGGTCTCGTTTTTTACAATAAACATGGGCTATTTTCACCCCCAATATTTTACATCTTTGCTTAAGATTATTAAGTACTTTCTTTTCTAAGTTATCACAAGAGATACTATATTTTATTTCCTTAATTTGGTCATTTTTTAATCAAAAAGTTGTAGGATTTTTGAGATCTTTAATTTGAGGAATCGTCTCCAACTAAAAGAAAAGAGGTTTTGCCGTTTCACTTTTTTTTTCTTTATTATTTCCTTTCAAATATCACCAAATTGCAAACTTCACTAACTACGACAACAACAACATATCCAGTAAAATCCCACTAGTGAAGTCTAGGGAGGAGTCTGGGGAGAATAGGATGTACGCAGACCTTACCCTTACCCCGGAAGGGTAGAGAGGCTATATCTAGGAGACCCTTGGCTCAACAGAAGAGATAATATATCAGAAAAGGAACTAAAGAAAGATCTATAACAACAAAAAAAGCAAGAAAAGTAATAATAATATCTTAAAATACACCAAATAAGTGAAAGGGGGTGCAATAATACAATCCTATGCAAAACAACAAAATAGTGTGAACACAACATAGACCGCTACCAGACATCGGCAAAACTCTATCAGACTACCCGGTACAAAGAGGGAAAAACTATGAACTACCCCCTAGCCTACAACCCTAATACTCGACCTCCACACGTTCCTATCAAGAGTCATGTCCTCGGAAATCTAAAATCGCGCCATGTCTTGTCTGATCACCTCGCCCCAATTCTTCTTAGGCCGCCCTCTACCTCTTCTCGTACCTACCAAAGCCAAACGCTCGCACCTCCTAACCGGGGAATCTATGGTTCTCCTCCACACGTGTCCAAACCACCTAAGTCTCGCTCCCCGCATCTTGTTGTCCACGGGAGCAACGCCCACCTTCTCCCGAATATCTTCATTCCTTATCTTATCTAGTTTAGTATGCTCGCACATCGATCTCAACATCCTCGACTACTTTCATCTTCTAGATATGTGAATTCTTAACTGGCCAACACTCAGCCCCATATAACATAGACGGCCTAACCATCGTTCCGTAAAACTTGCCTTTGAGTTTCGGTGGTACCCTCTTGTCACATAGGACTACAGATGCTAACTGCCATTTCATCCACCCCACCCCAATGTGTTGCGTGACATCCCCGTCAATCTCCCCATCTCCCTGGATAATAGATCCTAGGTACTTGAAACTTTCTCTCTTGGGGATGACTTGTGAGTCGAGCCTCACCACCCCGTCCGCTTCCCTCGACACGCCGTTGAACTTACACTCCAGATATTCCGTCTTGATCCTCTCAACTTGAAACCTTTGGACTCCAGAGCCTGCCTCCACACTCCAGTCTCTAATTAAGACCGCTACGCGACTCATCGATCAGAACTATATCATCAGCGAACAACAAACACCATGGCACCTCCCCTTGAATATGGTGTGTCAAGGCATCCATCGTCAGAGCAAATAAGAATGGGCTAAGCACAGATCCTTGGTGTAACCCATAATCACCGGAAAAAGCTCGGAGTCACCTCCCGCAGTCCTGACCCGAGTCTTAGCTCCATCATACATATCGTTTATCGATTCAATGTATGCTACCGGCACCCCTTGGGGAACAAAAAATTCTAGGAGGGATTATTTGTCTTCCTAGTCTTTGACACAAGAAAGGGGATCTCCAAAGAACGTCCCTAGGGACCTTGTCATACACCTTTTCTAGGTCGATAAACACCATGTGCAAATCTCTCTTCCTATCCCTGTGTTGTTCCACCAACCTCCTTATAAGGTGGATAGCTTCCGTAGTAGAACGTCCCGGCATGAACCCGAACTGATTTTCAGAAATAGATATCGCCCTCCTCACCCTCCCTTCCACCACCCTCTCCCAAACTTTCATGGTATGACTTTACAACTTGACGCCCCTATAATTGTTACAATTCTGAATATCACCTTTGTTCTTAAACAACGGAATCATCAAACAACATCTCCACTCATCTGGCATCCTCTTCGTCTTGAAAATAACATTAAATAGCCCAGTCAGCCATTCTAAACTCCACTAACTGTGTAAGTTAAATGTTAAGGCATTATGATCACACCCAAATAAAATATTTATTTAATTATTTTGAAAACAAATTATCAAAATCATAATTTTAATGTATATATAGTGAAAAGTGGATCCAAATAGGCATTGAAGGCAGTTTACTATCTACAACTTGAATAATATTATGTACAATTTACCAAAAGGCTTGAGCCAAATACAATTGTGTTAAAGCATATGCTTCCCATATACAAGGCTAATAGATAAAAAGAAGCAAGAGATGTTTCACAGCTCTGAAACAAATAATTTGACTGGCAAAACAGTGTTTTCTACAGTTACAAGAACATCAAAACTTGTATCTGCCACTTGAGAATCAACATTTCTTCATTAACAAGGTGTGAATCTGCACATTCTTGCTTCCTTTTTCTTTTCAAACCCACAAAACCGCATCAAAATGCCTGAAACCAGAAGGAAAGGAATAAGAAAACATAATCTACCCTTTTGCACTTGCAAACCGTATAAAAAAGGCAGTCCGGTGCACTAAGCTCCCACTATGCGCAGGGTCCAGGGAAGGGTCGGACCACAGCCTTATCCTGCATTTCCGTAAGAGGTTGTTTCCACGACTCGAACCTGTAACCTCCTGGTCACATGACAGGAACTTTACCAGTTACGCCAAGGCTCCCCTTCGCACTTGCAAACCGTATGAATGTTCGAAACCAATATCTCTCATGTCTAAAAGAACACCATTTCTAATGTTTACATTCAGTATAAACACCTAAAGTACAATGTAGTAAGTATCGAATGAAACTATAGTACGTAATAGTTTGGTTAAGGTTCTCTCTCCAGATAATAGAAGTAGTCGATAAAGGCACTAATTAGTAACTACTAATGACTTCTTCCTTGTTCTGACATCATTGATCAGTATTAGTGAGGAGGAATTAATTACAGCAGTTCTTGTGAATACACTACTTAGCATTTTCAGGAAAAGCTTACCAATGGTATGCTAGTGTACCTGTCATATAATACAACAGAGAAGGGTGTGGCTTCAAAAATTCCTCGACGCTCAGCTGTATGTCCTACAAAAAAGTGTCCTTCCCATACGCAAAAACACTCGAAGCAATCTGACAAGGCGAATAACAAGAAAGAGATAAAGGATTTTAGCCATTTTTTCAGAGACAGGTGGTTGACGAAATAGACAAAACAAGTTTGATTGCTTCAGTTACCAGCAAACGAGAAGAAAGCATACCTTCACTGTGCAGGAGAAGCTTCCTAAAATTCCCAAACTGACTTAAATGCTCGCTTTTGGAGGTTGGTTACAAGAATTAAAGCCATAGGCACGGGGTTCATGAGGTAGCTCTTCAAAAATATGGCGGAGACTCTCATGCTGAACCATGGATTCTAGTATGTTGTCCTCCAGCACAGAACAAGAAGGATTTGTCTTGCAAGTATTCACTTCATTCCTAGACAAAAGTACACCAGAATGATATTTTTTCCTCGTCTGCTGTTCGATCTTGTTAACCTCCCATTTCGATGCCACTGGACAGTAAACATGCACAAATTTAGTCTGACCGTTCCTGTAGGCTCGACTGACAGCTTGCTGTTCTACCGAGGGATTCCAGTGAACATCAAGAAAAACTACTCTTGAGGCCCCTATAAGATTTATTCCTTCCGAACAGGCCGTTATTGATGCGAGCAGCACTTTCGCATCACTCTTAGGATCATTAAGAGAACTTATTGATTTCTGGCGCTGCTTCACATCAAGTTCCCCATCCATATATAGAATCTCTCGGCCTAAAGTCCAATGAAAGAGAGAATTGAGTTGCTCCTTGATCAGTCTTAGAGGATCAAGTAACTGGCTGAATACTATAACCCTCTCTCTCATGCCATCACAGAGTCGGATTAGTTCAACGACAAATTTTGTTTTTACTCCAGTATTTGGATCCAACCGACATTCTCTTTCATTTAGCTGACTTTCTAAGTCAGAGAACACCTTCTTATTTGCCACTAATGAAGGATGAACAGAGATCAGAGACACCATATTTCGAAAGTCAAATGAGCCTGGATACTCTGGAATCATATTGAGCAACTTCTTCTGCAAATCTGTGGGCTTCAAGTATACCAGTGTGTCCCTTATACCCGGAAGGCTTTTCATCTTTACATTTTCACTACATATATGGATTAGTGGTGCAATCATATCCCTAAGCTCTTCCAATGCTCGGGTATTCGTGTCAATAGAATTGCTAAGAGAAGCCCATTTCTGCTCAGATTCTGCAGCAAACTTTGGACAAACTACGCGGAGGGTGTTGTACAACTCTTTAAAGTTATTCTGGAAGACAGTTCCAGACAAAAGTATGCGCCTCTGCGTTTCAACCTTAGTCATAGCTTTATACAAAAGGCTTTGCTCATTCCGAGGAGTATGCCCTTCTTCGAGGACCACAAGACCAGGTAATGTTAGAAGTATTTCTCTAATCTCTTTGGAATAACCATCTCCATTTTCTCCAGTGAGCTTCTCGAACAAGTCATAGCTGATCCCCAATACACTCTTACTTTTAGCCCAGGATTTCAGCTTCACCATACGTATAGGGTGTTTGTTTTTTCTTCCGGCATGGGATAAACAGTGGTAGAGACCAACCGTGACTTCATCTTCTTGGCATGAGAAATCATTGTTGTTCAAGTTGTGGAAGGGAATGTCCGCCTCCCATTTCTGGAACTCGGCTTCCCAGTTAGACAGCAACTTGGGCGGAGCTATGATTACAGGCCGACACTTTGGAAACTGCTTCAGAAATGCCTGAAGAAATACTATGGTCAGACGGGTTTTTCCGGTTCCAGGTGGATGTGAGATTATGCATCCTCCCCTACTAGCAGATAAAGGCTCGCTCAGCTTCTCAAGGTATATATCTCCAGCAATATTTTTCCACATAAACTCAAATCCTTCACGTTGATGAGGATACATTGTTGCTTTGGCATGCAGAGGAACTAAATCCCACACAGTTCCTTCCATATAAATAGCAGAATCATGGACTGCAGCAGGATAATCAAATCTAAACCCATCAACATCCAAGAACGGTGACGACTCCCCGAAATACTTTCTTTCATGCCTCCCCCGGTTTCTCTCAGCCTGCAAATGACAAAAGTATAAGACAAACATTAAAGAGTGAAAAACCCTATAGGAGAGCACAGTGTATAAAATCAAATATAAGGATGGCAAAAGAATATGTAACCAAGGCTATCAAGTATAAATATAGCTCTATGGACTAAGCAAAACCTCACAAGCTAATAGACTGAATTAGTTCCATTTAATACTCTAAATTTTTAGCAAGTCGATTTGTAATTGAAAGAGAAAACAGTAAGCGGCAGCAAACTATATTTGGAAAAAAAAAAATCCACAGTCCAGAACTTATTACAAATCTGTCAAGGTTGCAATGTAGATCCAGCTACATGATAACAACACATCTTGTAAATGGTGCTTCTAGTTGAAAAGGATAAGCGCTTGACAGACAAACTCATATACTTACAAAAGCAGGGTAGATGTACTTGCTCTCCAGATGCACATGTGAACAAACTTTACAGATGAGTCCAATTTGTTCATCTAAAATAAGATGGTGGTTCCCCATCTGACAGCCGCTAACTTTATCAACCTGCATCAGCAAAAAAGAGATTTTACATAGTGTTAGAAGCTGTTAACTTTAAGATATGAACAAATGAAAAACGAGAAATAAGGATTTGGAATTTTGACACACTCAATGAAGTTCAAAACAATAAGCATAGAGTATTGCTGCCTATCAGTTTGTCAAAACAGAATAACAAATTTAGACGGGTAAAGCAGAAAATTTTATAGCTAAAACTTATAATTGAATCTGACTGAGAGAGTAGCCCACCAGAGATGGATTTGTGAAGCCAATACATGATTCTAAGATACCCATGTCCATTTCAGCAAATAAATTCTCGATTTCTTTTTCCCATTCTTCTTTCTCCGGGGGGAGAGGGTCCTCGTCTTCAAACCGGAAGATCAACGGAAGTGTTTCTTTGACAGGAAATTGTTCCTTCTCTTCAGGAGAAGTAAGTTTATCATGATCATCAACATTTCTTATAGAATCAACAACAAACTTCACAAAGTCGAGATCCTTAAGAACACACTTCTTCCGAGTCTTTCTGTCCTTTTGAGCAGCATTTTTCACAGATTCATCAGCCTTTTCCTTTTCAGCAACCTTTTTCACCAAGTTATCAACTTTGTCCTTTTGAGCAGCATATCGCGTTGAGTCATCAACCTTTGTGCCCTCTTCAAATGGGGATTCAGACTCCTCGTCATCGCTGAGAAGAATGGGGCTACTACAATTTCCATGGTTTAACTTCCTCTTTTTTGACTTAGAAAGTGAGCGTGGCCGAAGAAGATATGCTCGGCCTCTATGCTTTTCACCCTCAAAAACAAGGCCAGGTAGTAGCCCCTCATTTGACTCCCCTTTTCCTTCTCCATTTTCTTGTTTCTCTACAGGATCATCATCTTCTGATTCCTTTCTTCCATCATCATCATCATCTAAACCAATTCTTATATCAGATCCTTTTCCTTCTTCATTGTCTTGAGGCTCTATATGACAACTCACACGATCATCTTCATCGTCTGATTCGCTAGAACTTGATGGCTCATTCACCCGATAATCCTTATCTTCGGGGTCATCATTATCCTCATCGCTAGAAGCTTCAGACTCTGACTCAGAAGATTCTGTTGTATCATCACTAGACTCTTGTGATTTTACACAATCGTCCTCTGATTCCTCAAAATCAGTTGGCTCCTCTGATTTATGCAACTCACTAGGACCCCGTGTCCTACACATACTTGAGGTAGATGAAACAACCTCATCTGCTGTAGTGACAATAGGACTCTTTAACCCAACACAATTGGACCAAGATCCTGAACCTGATCCAGTATTTAAAGCAGACGCCGCAGCAGACTCCCCAGTGACAACAACGTCAGGATCACTGTCCTCCTCCTCCTCCTCCTCCTCCTCACTGTCCTCCTCATCATCAGATATTACCTGGACGAAAGTCCGTTTCGTCATGGACTCACAAGTTCCTGGACTGAGCATTCTATTCCCATTGTCCATCCTTTTTTTACCTTTGTCCAAGCTTCTTACCATACTTTCATCTTCTGACCATTTTCCAATTTTTCTGTAGTCAACTCCACAAGTTGTGTATGCTTTAGTCAGTTTTCCTGTTGCACTAGATGATTCTCTTATATCACCAGAAGCTGTAACATCATCTCCAATATTCACAGAACAAGTACTAGAAGACTGAGGAGGATTTCCACTTTGACTCAACCTCTTCTTCTTCTCAATTACCTCGACGAAATATCTATCCCATTGTTGTCTAGTCCTCCTCCTTGGAAAAGAGGCTGCCCCTGAATCCATCTTCTAGAAATACTACACCTGAACCAAAACCAATGAACATTCATAAATACTAACATCAAAACACACAATATTCTTGATCAAAATACACAAGCCCTAGTACACTATAACAAATACAAAAACCTACCACTTTAAGTTATATTCACCATCAGTTGTACCTAAATTTTTATACAATATGACAAGTTATAACTAAAACTAAAACCCAGCCAAAACCCCATCAAAGAACAGTCACATGCATATAATAGTGTATATTAAAGACAGACTTGGAGATTTTACAAACTACATTGGGACACTCACCTGGATAAAGAGAGAACTTTTGTATAATGAAGAAATCAAGAACCAAAGAGCTTTTTGAGTTCTTGAAACAGAGTGAAACTTGAGGGATTAATACAATAAAATAGATTTTGAATGTATACACTAATATAGAATGAGAGATAGAGAAAGAGAACAGAAAAGAGACCTTTTCGGGAAGAAACCTGCGTGTGAGACAGGCGGAGATAGAGAGGGGGGTGGGTGGTGTTTTTTGGTTTTGTAAAGGAAGAGAAACAGAGTCAGAAAAGAGAGGGAAAGGTATAAAAGCAGAGAGAGAGATATATATATATATACTGAAACGGGCTTTTAAGGAATGTTTTGGTTCCTTTGTTCATTACTCCTATATTTATTGTTTTTTACAGCTGTAAAAAGTTGATAATTATGGGGGTGAATTTATTAACACGCTACTAAATTAACCACCCCACCCCCACCACCATTGGTAATAAAGTCTAATCAACTTTGGTAGGTTACAGAGTAGAGTAGCTTAATCATTTTTGGTAGGTTATAGACCATCTGTTTCGAAAGCCAAAAGGTTTGTGCTTATTTTTAACCTAGGGAAAGTAAAAAAAAAAAATCGAAAAGAGTACTCCCTATTAATATTTTTCGCTGTTTGAGATTTAAATTGTTAATTATAAATTATTTATCTTTTGAAATAATATTTAAATATTTAAAAACTCCATAAGTAGTACTATTTCCAAATATTTAAAAAGACATACAAAAATTTATGATTAAAGAATAAGTTGTTTAACTCTTGAAATCCGAACAATTCTACATATATTGAACCAGAAGGAGTTTATAAAAGAAAAGAAGAAAAGCTTCAACAGATTCGAACCATAATATCACCAAATAATAGAGATTAGAAAAAAGAATTAATGATATGAAAGAAAATTACTGCTAATTTTTTTGTTTGATTTGGGAATTTCTTTTCAATTAAAAATGAGTTTTAAGGGACGTCAACTTGCCTTTTTCTTCCAATGAAATGATTGCTTTTTCTTTTAAAGTGCAAACGAACTTAAAAGAGATAAGCAAATTGCGTCACGTGTACAAAGACTATAGTAGAAATTCTGTCTACATAAAAACAAAATGTATTAAAAAATAGTTAAATTTATAAGTGGTCATTCAAAATAGTCTCAGTTTTAAAATTAATTGAAATATAGTTACTTTTCATGTAAAGATAAATTTGAACAAAAATATTGTTCAAAATCCGAAAATACTCCACTATAATATACTGGAATTCCAGTATAATATAGTGGAACTCCAGCATAAGTATACTGGAAATCCAGTATATTATATCGGTCCAGCATAATATGTTGGAAGTTCATACACAGGTGCTCCAATCTCCAGTATATTATGCTGAAACTTTCTGCGTGTTGGATCATACACAGGCACACTAATCTCCAGTATATTATGTTGGAACTTTCCGTTGCAGCAAAATAGTGACTATTTTTCAATAATTTTGTAAACGCTGATTATTTTTGAATGACCAGTCCGAAAACTGATTAACCCGTGCAATTTTTACTCTCTCTTTAGCTTCAAAAGGGAGCCCAAAGTGGATAGTAAATCTTTTGGTTTGTGACATATCTTCATCTATCTTTAGCTGCAAAAAAGAATCTCTAACCCAACCCACCCACACCCACAATCGAAGCTTTTGTTTTATTCATTTTTCGTTCTTTTACATGTACAAATCAATATTAATTTGTTATAATGATGACAACAGTCAAGGAGAATGTAATATAGTATAATTTAACTTATAACAACAGGGTTATTTAGTTTGAAATATTATAATCGTAAGATTATAATTCACATCCAATATGGACAGATATCAAGATTTGGTATAAAATTATCTCAATACTTACTAATACTCAATCAAATATAAAATAAATATAATTCCTAAATTTTTATCGAGATTAGTATCATTATCTAGGTAACTAAACGACGCCTTCAATTACAGCAAATTGTATAAGATCTCAAGAAAGGCAGAGGCGAGGAGCTAGTTGATGCACCCTTCGGTCCAAAATAAGTGACTTTTTGGTCTTTTTTTGTGGTCCAAAATAAATGATTTTTCCAGATTTCAAGAATGAATTAATTACTTTTTTCCTAAATTGTCCTTGGAGTAATAGTGTTGGAGTATGTGTTAGGAGTGTTTATGTGAGATAGTAAATGTGAATATGGTCAGTTTTATTATTAATTAATGCTAAAAGATGGATTTCTTAATCTGTGTGAAAACATCCAAAAAAATCACTTATTTTGGACCGGAGAGAGTATTTAATTATCGTCTTCGATCCACTTGAATTTAATTTTTTTTTTTTGCGTTTTCACACATATTAAGAAATCTAGCTTTTAACATTAATTAACAATAAAATTGATCATATTAACCTGTACTGTCTCTTAAATTTGTTCATTGAAAATATAACAGATACTCAAAAAATATGTAATCCAAGAGCAACTTTGAAAAAAAGAAGCTAATTCTTACTTGATATATGAAAAAATCAAAAATTAAGGATCACAAAAAATAAAAGACCAATAAATCAATTAAAGTGGACCAGAGGGAGACAAATGTATCTGCTTAATTAGTAAAAATAGCACGGGCTAGCCAGTTTTCGGACTGGTCATTCAAAAATAGCAAGCGTTTACAAAGTCATTAAAAAATAGCCACTATTTTGCTGCAACAGGGACCGGTCCAGCATAATATAATAGAGATTGGAGCACCTGTGTATGAACTTCCAGCATATTATGCATCAACACGCGAAAAGTTCCAGCATAATATACTAGAGATTGGAGCACTTGTGTATGAAGCTCTAGCATATTATGCAGGACCGGTATATTATACTGGAATGCTGGAACTCCATTATAATATACTGGAGTTCTGGTATACTTATGCTGGAATGCTGGAGTTCCAGTATACTTATACTGGAACTCCAGTATATTATACTGGAGTATTTTCGAATTTTGAACAGTATTTTCGTTCAGATTTATCTTTACAAGAAAAGTGGCTAAATTTTAATTATTTTTGAAACTGTGGCTATTTTTGAATGACCACTTTTAAATCTGACTATTTTTAATTTCTCCCCCTTAATTAAAGTGAGAGAATAATTATTCCGAAATACATTAAATCAGATTTTGAAAAATCTATGAAGCATTAGTTCTTCAATTTTGAATTTATGACGAAAGATGAGAATGAGCAAATTACTCGAACAAATAGTACAAATTTTAGTCTCCACATCGTGTACATAAATAAACTCACACAAGTACAAAAAAGCAATTTGATAAGATCTCGTGCATGGCACGTGCAAGTAGCTAGGTTATACTTACAAATATATCCATAGAACCAAAAGTCAAATAAAAATTCACAGACTGTAGTAAGTTAGATTTTGAAAATAAATCCGAGTATTAGCTCTTCATTTTGAATTAACTTATGATGCTAAAGATAAGAACGCACAAATTTTTATTACTCAAATACATATTTGTGCATCTTATCTTAATAGGACATATATGTATGTGTCTGTATATACTTCGAGGGGTCATTTGGCAAGGGAACAAGTAATCCCATGATCATAATGATAAGATTATAATAGGAATTAGATATTAACATAATTATTTAATGAACATATTTTTATTAAAAAATATTTGGTTTATTTGATTAAAAATAGATATACGAGATATACTATAAATACGTGTTTGGTATATACTAGATAAGTTGGGATAAACTTTTATTTTCAATTTTAACCTTGGATTGTTTAAAAGACTTTGAGAAAAGATACTTGGAAAAGGGCATCTTTGTTGTTTTAGTGTTTATTCGGGATTAATTAATCCCGAGATTATTATCTCACTCTCGATATGGAATAGAATAATATCCAATTGTAGAATTATTAATTAATTTTCGGATTCAAAAATTCAATCAAACGTGGAATAAGATAATCTTGTTAATAATCCCAAAATTATTATCCTTTATCCCCACGTACCTACGGGCTACGACCTCTAAGTTGTGTACATGTGCAAAGCACGAGAGAGTTCTGGTGCAAGGTGCCGAGTAGCTAGTTCACACTTATTACAAACATATCCACTTAAGTAAATATTACTCTCTCCGGTCCAAAATAAGTGACTTTGGAGGTTTTCACACAAATTAAGAAATTCACCTTTTAGCATTAATTAGCAATAGAATTGACCATATTAACCTTTACTATCTCACATAAACACTCCTAACACATATTCCAACACCATTTACTTCAAGGACAATGTAGGAAAAAAATAATTCATTCATTCTTGAAATCTGAAAAAATCACTTATTTTGGACCACAAGAAAAAGGCCAAAAAATCATTTATTTTGGACCGGAGGGAGTAGATAACAACAATTACAAACATATAAATTAGATTTTGAAGAATCAATGAAGTATTAACTTCTTCGAATTGAAATTTAAGATGTATTCCGCAATGAAAATTAAGATAGTATTAAGATAAGATAACAAAACTCTCAAGTACAGGCAATCACATATTAAGATGCACGCATTGCGTAGGATATATATTTATGTATTATTTGTCTATACTAAGTTGTGTGAATGTATAAAGATATGCACACAAATGGAAGTGCCGTTCAAGAAAATGAAATTTCTTCTCTGGGCAAATTTACACAATCTAGCTTATAAAAAAGTTTAAGTAGTCTAACATGCATAATTAATCCTTGAAAATACCAATGCACAGAGCATTAATTACATATATAGTGGGGCTATCAATCTATCATATTCTGAAAAGTACCAGTTAGCCATTACATGTAATTAGATTAGAGTTTTAATTCACTATAAGTTGCTCCCTGCACTTGTTCTTCCGAAAAGTGAGTTTTTCGCTCAACTTTTACGGATGTCATTCTTCTCCCGTGCTTGTTCAAACTGAATTTATTTTCTCCTTAATAGATGACATGTCATAGGAATTACTTTGACATTACAAAAGGCGCGACAGATAGAAAAATGATCAAAAAGTGATTAAATACTACATATGTCTTGTTTTCATTGGAAGTCATACTAATTACATTAATAATTAATTATATTAAATGAAATACTAACCTTTTTCCTTTTCTTATTCTTTTACCTTTTTTTCTCCTCTTCCTCTTTCTTCTTTTCTCCCTTGCTATCTTTCCTCCATTTTTGCCCATCTATTTACGTTGAGTTACCAGATGGGAACAACAAGTACTCAATTATGAACAAAAACAGTACCCTATTTACTTATAGACTAACAAAATAAAA